CTGCGGGTTTACTTTTGCTCTGGGAGCCGAGATGATGGAAACATCAGTAACTTTTAGCATGTGGGGACTCACCAGAAATGGTCTGTTTGGGCCCCAAACCACAGAGAGAAAAAATACTTACTCAGAGCTTTTAGAGGTGAAGATCAAAGCTGGAGTGAAGGTCAGATCATAAAGGCTGTTTTAAATTAATAGCAAGCGTAAAAAACAGTTGTAAAAATCGCTGCAGAGCTTAAACTTGAAAGGTTCGGGTCAGTTTTCGGTCCGGTTTTGCAAAATAACATCAGCATCGTTTCCTTAATGATGGTGATGGTGAGGTCGAGGAGAATGATGATGGCGTTGGGGATCATCATTCGAGCAGGTGATGTGATATTATATATCTTACATACGTCAGCTTTTTGACCCCTTATTTGTTCATTCTCAAATTTCTGGCTGGTCCATTCTGGTTTTCCTGTGCCAAAGTCAAACAGAGCAGAACAGAGTGGAGATCAATGACAAGAAAAATAAATCAGAAGTAGGAGATGAGGGGGATCTCCATCAACTGGATGGACAGGAAACGCATTTCTCTAACATCAGCTAAACTGGGTGGAGTGTTTGGGGATTTCCTTGGAATAATGTTCTCTTCACACCTTTCTGCCATACATCTCTACTGGTAGAGAAGGGAAATTCCACCTTTCAGCAAAATTCACATCATTTCCTTGACGGTCTCCTTCTGCCCTTTTTAAAACCGCCCCATCTTTGTCCTCACACTCGCTTCAGGCTTTAAATTTTTAATTATGCGTCTTTTTACATAAATATAAATCTTTATTAGGTAAATATGCAGAATTACATAAAACATTGAAAAAGCAGGTAATCGATCTAATAATAGTTGATATTTGACTAATGTTTGATGGGCTAAAAACTAGAACTCCACTCATGTGAAGCAACCTAAGTATTGATTAATAATCCTTAAACACTCTTTGTTTGTCCAATGAAAAGGTCTTAGAATCGTAACTCATTAACATCATCGACACACGATGTCCCTTAATGAATTTGTGTTTTCGTTCACATTAGCAGAGCTCCAACATTGATCTGTATGTCTCCTCTGTGTCCCCCTTTGTCTAGGGTTCGGGATTCCATGCGTCGCGGAGGCAGAAGTACGGCAACGTGTTCAAGACCCACCTGCTGGGCCGCCCTCTGATCCGGGTGACGGGCGCAGAGAATGTGCGCAAGGTGCTGATGGGCGAGCACACGCTGGTGACGGTGGACTGGCCTCAGAGCACCGCCACGCTGCTGGGACCCAACTCACTGGCCAACAGCATCGGAGACATCCACCGCAAGAGGAGGAAGGTCAGCACGCACACAAAGACATGAACACACATGCAGGCACATGTTGGAGGTTAGGATATGAGGGTAAGGAAGGGGTGAAAAACGGACACATGAGCCCCTTCTTTGATCACTTCAGCTCATGAGTGTTCTGGGAACTTAAGTCATGCAGGCAATCCCACCTAGAAAATATGTAATATAACACCTCCTACAGTACAAGGTTTAAATCTGAATTAAAAGCAGCAACGTAAAAAGGAATTTTGCACTGATCTTTTGGTCCAAAACTCATCTCTGTAGTGTTAAAATGTGGCTCTGAAAATGTTGTATCTCGCTCCACCGCTGCGAATGGCAGCCTGGATTTGCAGCCTGGCTACAGCATCAAAAACGTTAATCAGGGAAGTTGTAGAGAGACATGGTCTGCCTGTTTTCTTTTTTTTCTTTTAAAGACAGCTCTGTAATAAATTTCATCAATGCCAACTGCTTTTATACTTTTGCATGTTGGAGTGAAAAGCACTCACAGTCCTGTGAGAGCCACGCTGGTAATTGCACAGAAACAGACTTCCGTATTATTTTGTACAAGAATTTAAGAACAGAATTCCCAGAGATAAATATGAACATCAAATACCTCTTGCGTTCCACTTTTAAAAAAAAGACTGATCTAGATCTAAAAAACGCCTTGCCATACCAGTTTCAATGTCAAATGGTGTCAAAATGAACACATTCATTTAGATTAATTTTTAAAAAATGTGTTAAAAAAAACAAATTACCACAATTGAATTTAACAATCTGCAATGGTAACATTCTAGACAAAGTTAAATGAAAAAATACCAGGAAATAAAACAATTTATTGATTTCTAATGCCACTTTTAGATATTTCTATTCAATGCTTTACTAATGTGCCGCAATAATAATATATCCTAATTTGGTGGATTTTCTAAGCAAATATACTGGAAATTCATTCTGGAATGAGCAGCAGAGACAACACACACACATTTGTCAAAGGCACTGGAGTCACTCGCTGCACAATGAGGAAGGTAGGACACACTCTTCCACACAAACAGAAAGAGAGAGAGTATCAGTGTAAAGCTATCCCGTCCTCTCGGCCTTATCTGCAGCGTTCTGGCTACTGAAGCGTGAGAACGACCCCTCCATCGCTCCATCCTCTCCCTCCACTCATCTGCACGGAGAGAAAGGGACTCCGTTCAATGCCCGTCCGCCCTCCCTTTTCTCATCTTCACTGCTTAATTTCTCCCCGATTCTGACCATTATATCTCTCTTTCTCTTTCTCTTCAGTCTTTCTATTTCACCTTCTGTCTGTCTATACTTCCTCTCTCTCTCTTTTCTGTGCCAGGACCATTTCAGGTAATCAGCCACTTACCTCTCCCTCCCATTATGCCGTTATCCCTGGGGCACATACCTCCCCTTTCATAAACACACAGATAAACACACACAAAGGGCCAGAACGAGAGGAACGAGGAGCAGGGTCTGGTGTGTTTTCCTGTAAGTCAGTCTTCAGTTTTCTCTCTCTGGATCCTCCGTGGAGGGGGAGAGGAAGGAGGGAGACTTTTTTGGAGGGTTTCGGAGGCGGGGTCAGGTTTCGTTACTGCGGTGCCCCGGGACAGTGAGGGGTCGGCTGGGTCTAATCTGGGCTCTGATCCCCTCTCCTCTCCCTGGAGACCCCTGCACTAACCTCATGTAATGACCCCTGATTAGGGAGGCTGCCTCCAACACAGCACAAAGAGGGGCTTTCTGTGGTGGCCCAACACACACACACACACACACACGTATAACAGTACAGAAAAGCATATGTGCACACACACCTGAACATTCCCCGCTCTCAACCCAAACAGCCAGATACAGTGACGGAGGTCGGTACTGTTGCTTATAGTCATGTGCAACCACACTGCTGAGGTGCCTTTGAGCAAGACAACCAATCTCATACCTGCTGCCATTTTGTCCATGACCTCTGACCTTCCTGAAGAGGCAAGAGGGCAAAAGGAAAAAGGTTTTCCCTACAGACATCAAGTGATGAAGCCTCATATTACAGTTTGATTTTGAAGTACCGTATTGGCTCCAATATAAGACCCCGCTCTCTTTTCCAACAGCTGTGTTTGGAAAAAGGCTTTTTGAAGATCAGAAACAATTTCAGACTAGTTTTGTCCAGGAAAGTTTCCCTTGATATGAATCCAAGGAGTAGAAAGTCCTCATTCTCTGTACCTTTTCTCTCAAAAAGTGAAACATTAAAACAGAATGTAAATAGATTGGAAAAGCTTGTCTATCAATCACACACTCTCACTCTCCTTTCAGGCTCTTGGAAGTGGTCAAATGACCAAATGATTCAGTCCACAGTCTGTCCTTTTAAAGATGCCCCGAGAAACGTTAAACTGAGCTAGCAGCTCTGTTTATGGGAGCTCTTTCCTGACAAAGATCAGCCTTTACATGCAGTTTTTGGTTTTTTGGAAGAAAAAGAAGAAGAAAGGTCACTGTTAGAAAAGATAAACAGTCAAAGAAAAGAGTGCCAGCCACAGAAAACCTCAAAAAAGGAGGTGTGATCCCGCCCACACTGATTGATTGACAGGTGCAAAAGAGGGTCAACAAACAGAGACAGATAGATAGAGAGAATGGCGAGGAGGGCAGAGAGGTCAGCTGGGCAGTTTTCAAGGCTTATGTAGGCGTGTGTGTGTGTGTGTGTGGGTTGGCAGCACTCCCTCTTGTTTTCTGGGTAATAAAACTAAGTCAACAGACAGAAGCGAAACAACATCAACTGAGAGAAAGAATGAGAGACTGGCTTACTGTCTGACCCACTGGACCAGAACTGCTCCTCTGTGTGTGTGTGTGTGTGTGTGTCGATCCTCCTTGTGGGTTTTCGTACGGAAAAACAATCTTCACACAGCACATTAGCCTTTGGTGGATCAACAGAGCCAGCCAGTTTCCATATAACCCCGTGTTAAGCTAGGAAACTAACTCCCTCAAAAGAGCCACAGCGGCCTGGTTTTCCACTATAGGCCAATCAGGGCCAAACAGGGCCAGCCAGGACTTACACATCATCCTTGTCTGAAAACAACATTGAACATTATGTATTTCTGCTGCAAACAGACATAGTTTATGACTTTTGTCACCATATCAGGTTTTCTGATGGGCTTGTGAGTTGGGAGTTGGACGTGTTTTTCAAGGTTTGGAACCAGTGTTTTTGCGCTTTGCCTGAAATTTGCAACAGAAGTTAGTCATAGCAAGTCTCCTATTGGCATCTAGGCAACCCTCAAGGCAATAATAGTGAGAGAGGCAGGGCATGAGGGTTTTAAAAACTCTTGGACTGTTGAAACCTGCATGAACACTACATAGGTATGAAAATTCAGGTATGGGTTCTGATGGTTTTGGATCTGGTCCAACTGAAATCACATTTAGTTATCCTAGAGCGCTGAGAGTGAACCGAAACAGTTGCAGAACCAGTATAATGGGCCACAGAGCTTGGGGGAACTTGCAAAGTTGGGCGTAGATTGTTTTCACATGATTAATCCGCTTTAAAACTGAATGTCTCGTCTTAGTTATTAAATGTTCGACAGTGTTCTTGCACACCAAGTCTTAATGGCAGGTGTGCACTCAGATTGTTGCTTAAAATGAACTAAACTACTGTAAATTGATTCGATGAGGGGCTTGAAAGGTTCAGATTTGATGTGTTGACCTTGTGTGGGATCAAACTCAGGACCAGTTTGCTAAGAGGTGACAGAACTACCTTTAGTTTTCAGCAAAGTACATTTGACCTTTAATTCCCTCAGCTGTACACAACACGCAGAATATATGATGATTAAGGACCTTGCCCAACCATATAAACTGTCTTAAACATGCTGAGGTGGCCTCAGTAAGCCCTACCTGACCTGCAGTGGAAAAAATGTCCCTCTATACTGAAATAACACTGGGTGAATCCAAGTTAGGCCCATACACACACATGCAAATACACACTACTGTTGACAGTGGCAGCCAGTTCTTTATTTTCACCCTTCTGACATACCTCTCACTCTCTGTTCCTCCGCTATTTAAATTCCCTCATCCCACCTCTTTCTTTCTCTCTCTCGTTCCTTCCCTCTCCACATTTTCCTTCCCCCTTGTTTTTCTTGTTTTTGGAACCATCCCTCCATCCCTAAATTTAGGCAAAGGAGAAACACGGGCAGGGGAAACAGAGGGTGAGACAGATTGGACAGGAGTGAAAGAGACATGTGGAGGGATTTAAATTGACCTCTGCCTCAATTTAAGTGTCACTTTTAACCTTTTTCTCTCTGTATCCTTTACATGCAGTGCAATGCAATCCAACTTTCCTTTTCTCACTATGTGCTGTCCCTCATGTCTCTCACCCTCTCTCTCTCTGTGTGATGGTGAGTCTGTGCTCTTCTGCTCATCACCAGTAGAGGGCACTGCCAATTCTAACTGAGCTGAAGCCCATTATGTCCATCCTCTCTTTGCTTTACTCAGTTCTTTCAGTCTCTGTACATACTGTATCACTTCAGTTTTAAATTAAAGCTAATGACTGCAGTTCAGCTGACTTTTATATTCCCATTTCACCTGCTGCTCCTCTATTGGTTGAGAAAATCCAAGTGGTAGTAAGAAATTAAAAAAAGTAAATGCATGTCCCCCCCTAGAGTGTCCCCCATCTAATATTATATTATTGGGATGTTATTTTTTGATGCCTTATGGTGTGAGCAGCATTTAATGTTGTAGCTGGATGAGGTAGATCAAATTATAACTAATACTGCTGCATAGTTTAATCTATAGAAAATGTTATTAATTAAAAACATATTTGCTGATCATATGTTATATGTTTAAAAACAGCACAGAAACAAGTGAGCAAAGATGTCAAATAAATGTGGTGGAGTAAAAAGTGCAATATTTCCCTTTAAAAAGTAGCGGTGTGGAGGTATAAAGTAGCAGAAAGAAAGTACTCAAGTAAAGTAGCTCACCTATCACCTAGCCTCTTATTCTTACCTTTGCACGTAGACCCATAACTAGTTGGACCCTCTCTGTGTCTGTGAGCAGTTCAGGGACCGTTTCCAGCACTGTGCTAACGAACTCCTCCAGCAGACCGTAATACATCACAGCTCCCTGCTTCACTATCTCCCACAGAGCTGCAGACACAAGCTGCAGAGGCGGGACGATAAGACGGAGAGAGGAAAGGGGAAGGGAACCTGAAGGCACAAATGTTAGAACTGTGAGGTAACAGCACAGAGACGACTGCCTTGAGGGGGCAAATGAGCGACACATTTATTGCAGCGCTACAATATTCCGCACAGTTTTCCGTTAGCATTAGCCTTTAAGTTACCGAAAAACATGACTTTCTACCACTAGCTTTTTTCTCTAGCGTTAGGGCAAATGCGGACTGAATATAGGTAGGTTCAGTTGAGTGTTAAACACTCACCATGGTCCGTTAATATCTTGCTCATTTTGGCGTTATGAACATCACATTTTAGGTCTGAAGATGGAAATTTGCTAACATTGCAGCATATGATAACGTCTGAATGTGGAACATGGAAGCCACGTCCGACGCATCCGCATCTTCTCTTTGGGAAGTTGACGCACTACGTCATTACGTACAGACGTGCAAGGCAGAATCAGTATATTCTGTATAATATACAGTATAATATATCTTAATGGCTCTGGCGCACACATACAAGGAATTTGACTCCGGTTGCTCTCAATGTACATACACAGAATAAGCATGAATAAACAGGACAACAAGCTCAACAAAGTAGACATAAACTACTATGTACAGTTCTACATATATATATATATATATATATATATATATATTTACACACACACACACACATATATATTTATATATATATATATATATATATATAGACATATATAAACAAACAGTAACGTTT